CATCCTAGACCACTACAGCAAAAAGAAAAGGTAGAAAGGCAGAACTCCAGAGCACATTGAGGCAAAGGCCGGAGATATACAGCAGGTTCCAGCTAAACAGGAATAAAACAGACCAATGAGTGAGCAATAAGTTAAACACACTACAGTAGCTACTGACACCTCAGTGGCCTGAAGGAAATTGGCCTAACTTGGCTCACAGTGTTGATCCCCTCAATATTAAGGGAGCCAAGTGAGCAGAGACTATGCAGACTGGGTGGCAGAGGTTTAGTGGCCTGAAGAAGTTGACACAACCAAAGTCCATCAAAATCCTGCAGAAACAACAAGAACAAACTACACTAGCACAAGCTGTCAGAATCCTTATGGACTTGTATCCAATTGCATCAGTAGAGCAGAATCACAGAATCAGTGTAGTCTCTTCCAGATGACAGGAACTGTAAAAAAAAATCTCCCCGCTAAAATGCCTCAAAATGGAGAGGGGGAGGGCAAGAAGAGGAGAAGGAATAGGAGAGAAAGAGGAGGAACAGATTTATGGATCTTTAGACTTCAAGTCTCAGAAAAGTGCAAGCAAATCTAGAAAAGAAAGATGACTTCATTACTGAAGTCTATATAGAAAGCATAGAACAGATTATTTGCCTTCTTCAGGTATTTTCAGGTTTCTAACCTACACTACCACATGCAAATACTATTTCTGCAAGAAACAGGTAATGGGAAGTGCTCCAAACACCTCTTTGCTGTAGAGAAACAAGCTGGAAGAGGTGCACCAGACTCTACAGTTAGACTTCACAGCCTCTCATAAGAATAAAATCCTCTGTGGGTTGTAGAGATCTTGAAAAAAAAAAAAATAAAAAAATAAAGCTCATAAAACCAATGACCCATCACTCTTTCCCACTATTTTTTTCTCCAATGTTGTAGCCACTATCAAAACAGAACCGAGTCCAAATGCCTTTCACAACTTCACAGACATGCTCTGCAAAGCAACTCAACCTCTCTCCAATGCATTTCAAAACACAGACTGACCTTATTAAAATGATCTTTTCTACAGGATAGTAGCACAAATGCTTTGATTCTCCTTTTGTTCAGCATGACATACAAAGCAGCCTTGAATTTGAGATTGGATCCTCAGAGCACCTCAAAAATGTCTATCAAAGCTTCCAAAAACTCCTGTTTTGTCTTCTTTATCATCATTTAATGTGACACACAGGTGTTATCAAATTCCCTTCTTTATTGCACTGATAATACAACTTTATAGCAGTTGTATCTAGATAATAATGGAATTGTAAAAAGCCATTTATGCAAGAGCCACAAAACCATTCAGGAAAGAAGTGAGGATGTGAACTACATCAAGAATTCTTCATCTGTATCTACCATGACTTCATGATAAGTTATAGCCTCAAAACACCAAGACAACACTATGAAAGCACGTTTACCTTCTTACAAATAAAATGGCTTATCTGATCAACAAATCCTGAGATTTACATGATTAGGTTTGCATTTTACATTATGTCCGAAATTCTGTTGACTTTCTTACATAGTAAATACTACAGATATTATGTCCATCCTGATGAAGCTCATTGCCATGTGAATATACTACAGCTGAATTGCAGAAAACTTGCATATTGATAGATAGCAAACAAAATGGAAAAGAAACAAAAGAGCCTTTAAAACAAGTACTAATGCATAAGCACACATTTACAGAAATGGAATGGTGGGAAGTAGGACCATGAGAACTGCAACTCTGTTCTTAAATATCCCTGATTAAACAGCTGTTTTTTCTTTTGTCAGACCACTGGAACAAAACTAATCTTTGGTAGAAGGCCATGAAAACAATGAACTTGGTTCAATTAAGCTGGTTCAGTACATATTAAATGAAGAGACATTATTAAGCATTTCTATCAAAGCTAAAGAATCAGAAAAAAAAACAGGGTATATTAAGAAACGAAAGAAAATTAGTTGAGCTGACCTGCCATAAACCAGTAGAGCTTAAGTTACTCAAAACAAAGCAGGCTGCCCAGAACTGATTTTGGCTGGCAGTTGTTAACTTCCTCTAGTTGGACAACTCTGCATGTATAGACGTTCTGCTGAACAATACATAACATATTTAAAAAAAAAAAAAAAAAAGCCACCTCTATCTGTAGTTAATCTGCATGTTTACTGGCCAAAGAAAAAGAGAAAAAGATGTGGAGTAGTGGTAATGATACATGATGTCCAGATTCGCAACATGAATCCACAGAGTGAACTCTCTCTGAAAGCTCATCTGCTTCACAAGAACCTGTCAGACAACCAGCCTATTACACCAGCTCTTTAGAGCATCACAAGACTGGCACATTTTCCAGGTGTGCTCAGCAGTCTGAAAAATGACAGAAAGGATATATATATCAGGTTACCATCTCACAGAAATAACTTGCCCTGCAAGGACTAAGATAAGAGGCAACTCTTCTGAGAGCTCTGTGAGGAGATGAGACTCTCGTATTTCAGTGCAAGAGCCTACTTCTAGCCTTTGTGACAATTTTTATCTCATGTCCTACCTCATATTTGTAAAAAGATATCCCAGAAACATTAGGAAAACTCTAATTGTCCTCTTAAAATTCCTTCTTTTAAAACCAAAACTCAGTACTGCCCCTGAATAGTGATCAGATGGGGCAAACACCTACCACTACGGTACTATTCCAAAATTTTTATATCCCATTGTTGCTCTGGAACAAATTTTGCTATTTGCAACATAGCAAAATTGTTCTGTTTTATGCTTGCACATACGCTAGCACTAACATTCCTGGTATATGATTGATGCAAGTTACTATTACTACAACAATAATAATAGTAATAAATAAGACTGAAAGCATGAACCTAGCATAGCTTTTGGAGTGACTTCAGATGACTATTCTAAAAGAAACTGTTCCATAATTCCCAGCTGAATATGGATGTTAACACCTAAGAGTTGTGGTTTATCCCATCTCAAAGGGAAAAAATGCTTTACATGGGGCAGAAAAGTAGTTCAGAGGCATAACTCAGCCCCTCAGTCCTAGTAGTATCCCCTGAGTATACCCACACCTGCTAAGAAAAGGGATCCTGTATCACTATCTTTTTAGATGTGCTTTCTAAGAAATGCTTAGACAGTTTACTATAAAACTCACTCTAGTAATAAAGTATTCACTATATACTCAGCCATTCAAAATGGTATAACAGAAAGCTTCTGCAATCTTACAGAAGATCTGCTTCTTTAAAATAAAGAAACAAAAAACTCTACTACTTTCTACATAAATAATTTCGGACACTAATATTTTCTCTGAATAACTTTATACTTTCATGCAAAAAAAATGTTTTTTTAAACAATTCAGTTCAGCGATATCACCACATGAAAGTATCTGAAAAGACAAATGTATCTGAAAAGACAAATCAATATCTTCATTTTCTCGTTATGCTTAACAGCATCGGTTTATATGAATAATTAAACATGCTAACTGCATAACTACCATTAAGTGCCAGCATTTTGAGCTATTTTAAGGACTTATTCCTGATTTGTTTTCATACTTGGAGACCATTCACACAGCAACAAAGATTTTGTTTGTTTTTGAACACTGAAGAAAACTGGCAAGAGAACCCAAGAATGACATGAAGATACTAATCTTATTCATTATATTAGACTTCAGTTGGCAAATGCCCTTTACAAACATGTCAAAGCTGACCAAAATTGGAGTGCTTAACAGATGTTCTTTCCAACATGTATAAAGTAAAACTGGAACGCCCCCACAAAAAAAACAAACCTGCTATCAGTGACAACTGTGTCAATCAGGAAAAGTTTCACTGAAGTACGGCATGGATTTATACTGATGACTGTAAAATACTGTTCATCACATTCTTCAGAAAGCCTAGAAGGTATGTGCCACATAAGTCATTTCTTCATGGATTCCACTGCATATAGAACACTCAGAAGAATAGTTGTTAGGTTAAAAAAATAAAAAAATAAAATAATAAAAGAAAGCTTTATCCACTTTATTCACTCACAGCTTTGCACGTTGTCTAATCTTTTAATCTTTGAGAAGATTAAAGTTTGTAGCTACCACCTGATCAGGATAATGAAACTCTACCAGCGCAATCCATTGATAATAGAAATTGCAAGGTGGATTCAACCCTTTCATATTTATGAAAACTATAAATTCCTACTCTGTTAATACAATTGAAAGATTTCTTCTCAATGGTACAGCAAGGCTCTAAATCCTTGAAGACAAAATGCTAATCTAAATAGTAGCAAAAACAGTGAGAAAACCTTGGTTTAAGAATGAAGGGCTAATGTTTTCAACTGTTTCATTAAAATACTGCTAGAATTTGAATTAAAATAGATGTGTTTCAGTGTATTACACAAGCTGCCTCCACAAACTCATTGTAGCACATGTCCTGCAAAATCAGAACTACAAATCTTACAGAGTACTGTGTAATCTTAAATTATATCATAGTATAACAAAGGGATTATTTACAGCTGCTGATAGTATATCAGGTGGGTACTTAATTTACACTGCAGATTTTTAAAGGACTTCTTTATTTACACCAGCTGAGCGGGCTAACCATTTTGATATCCCAATTGAAGAAAACCCACGCCACTGGTAAGAAAACATATGAAACTCACGCAGAAAGCCCACGGTTCCTTCCTAACCTGTTAATTCATCACAGTGCAAGTAAAACCCGTGTTTGTGTCACAAAACCACGAGGCTGGCAGCCCGTGCAGCCGCGGCCCTTGCGTGCCAGCCGGGCGGCTCACACTCACTCACTCACTCGCTCACCCCGCGTGCCGCGCGCAGTGCGGGACTGCTCACACGGCTGCCACCTGGCCAAGGGGTGCCCCGGGAGGGAGCCCGGGCGAGCAAGGGGCTGAGGAGCAGCTCGCTCCGGAGGGAGACGCCGCGAGGAGGGGGCAGCGCGGCAGGCAGCTGGGCGAGAGGCGCCCGCGGCCCCGGGCAGCTCCCGCCCGCGCCGCCCTCGCCCGCCCGCCAGGCCCGCGCACTTACCGCGCTCGCCAGCTCCGCGCCCAGGCAGAGGAGCACCAGCGCCAGCGCCCTGCGGGGACCAAAGGCACACGCGGTCACGGCGGGCTCCGGCGCGCGCCCGCGCCGCCCGCGCCCCGCGCACTCACCCTGCGCGCCCCGTCGCCGCCGTGCCGCCCATGCTGCTCGCAGCCTGCAGGGAAGCGGACAGGACACAGGCGGTTACGCGCCGCTCCGCCACCGACCCCGCGCCGCCCGCCTCCCCACACCCCCTCAGCGCGGTGCGCGCCGAGGCCGGGCACGAAGTTTGCGCGCGCTCCGCCGCGGCACCGCACGCACCTGAAGCGGGCCGCGCTGCCGGGCCGCCCGCCCGCCCGCACCTCCGCGCTTCGCGCCTCGCCGCGCCCGCCCGCACGCCACGCCCGGCCCGCCAAGGTGAACCCACCACCGCGACGCCTCCGCCGCAGAAAGTAGTGCGGGGTCCGGCGGCTGCCCTCGCCGCGGAGGTGCGGGGCGGGGAGAGGTGCCCGCCTTCCCTGTGAGCCCGCGAACACCCCGCGCCTGGGCCGAGGCGGTGGCGGCGGGAGCGGCGGCGGGGCCAGCCCCTCGGGGCGGCGCGCGGGCCAGAGGCGCCCCTTCCCCTCACCGAGGCGCGCGGGCTGCTGCCCTCCCCCGGGCCCGCCCGCGGTGCGGATGAATACCGCGGGGCAAGTAGTCCCGGGAGGACTTGAGCCGGCAGACGCGGGCGAGCGCGGCAGAGAGGCGGGCGCTGGCGTCGGGGCGGCCGGCGGGAGCGGCTGCCAGGGAGCCGCGCTGCCCCGCAGCGATGGAGCCGCCGCCTCGGCAGCGTTGGCGCTGGCGGAGCCGTAGCCTGGCCGCCGGCTGCCTCGTGCTGCTGCTGGGCTGCTGGGGACAGGAGGAGGTGGCAGCGGCGGTGAGTGCGGGCGCTGGGGGGGGCACCGCGAGGCGGCGGGGCCGGGTCCTGGCGGGAGCGGCGGCCTTGGCGGCGCCGGGCGCAGGTGCTGAGCGGGGGACTGAGGGAGCGGGGCCTATTCCTGGCCTGGCGCTCTCACCTGCGCCGGGGGTGGCTCCGGACTCGGCCTGGGCGCCGAGGAGCAGTGGGGCTGCCCTGGGAGGTTCCACCTCGGGGAGGTTTGCGCTCTTCCTCCGACTTCCACAGCTGCCCTTCCTAGGGGGACTAACTTTTTTTTAAAAAAATATTATATTTTAAGGGTACTCTAAAGAGAGGAGGAAGCCATATTCCTGTTGCTTGGGATTTCCCTCAACTCTTAACTCTTCCTAAATTTGTAGCAGTAAGTGGGGGGAGCCCTCAGCCCTGCACTGTAGAGCTGACTGAATCTCACCTTAGTCCTTCCTTTGAAGCGTTCCTCCCCAGTGAAGTCCTGCAGCCCTTTCATCCGCTGTCCCAAAAACACAAAGAGCAGCCCTCGCGGTGCCTCCGCTTCCTCCGTGCCCAGGTGTGCACCCAGCGATAGCAGCGGCCGCGGTGCTGGCCGCAGGCTCTGGCTCATCCTCGTGTTGGCCGCGAGGCCGGCACTGCTGCCCCGCAGTCTGGCCCTGGCCATGTCCCGTAACCTCTCGCTCCCTCTCAGTGTGCCCGGAGAGGAGTTGCTGCTGCCTATGGGGCCGTGCTGCTCAGCAGGTGTTGGGGGGGTGAGTGGTTACATCGGTTCTTCCTTTGGGAAGTGCTGGAGCAGGGCAGTGTGTCGCATGTGGAGCCCTGGGGAGTGCGCCGGGTTGGAGTGCAGGAGGGGAATGGGCTGGAGAGAGAAGATGGCGGAGGTGGTGGCCAAGTCACTGGGCCTTGGCGCTATCCTGCACTCCATCCCATCTCTGATGTGATTCCCTGGCTCTGCACACAGCTCCACTGCATGGGGGGTTTCCCTCGGCACTGCGGAATGAGCGCTGGCCATTCCAGAGGAGACCCTCTGCTCCACAGCTGCAGAGATCCCCATGGCGCCTTGTCAAAGGGCTAATGGTTCCTCAGTGCTCAATTCTTCTGATGTCCTCAAGCCACACGTGGTGCTAATACTAAATACCGCTGCTTATCAGTGCACTAATGAGGATCTGCAATTTCTTTTCTTTCCTGATTATCAGAAAGGATATTTGAATATGGATAAATTTGGTGGAGAAAATTAAAGTCTTGTTGGTGTCCTGACTGAAATAATATCTCTATTTGTTATTCTAGGACCTTCATAGTGCACAGTGCAGATGCAAAAATATCATACTCTTTTGTGAGCTGAAACAATATCAATTGCACAATCACTTACAAGGTGAAAATGTAGTTGAGTAATGCCTCAATCTGAACATATTGAGGAAGAACTGATGGTTTGTCCAAAGAATGCTTGCCAAAGGTCATTGGATAACTTGAGTTGTTTGGAGTTTATTGCTAATTTTCCATAGCCCCTAATCCATGAGGATTATTTGATGAGTAAGGTATGGATCATGTTATTCACTCTGTTGTGCAGACTCATTGTGGATGCTTCACTGTACATCAGTCTGTTGCAGAATAGGGGAAAAATGACTGGGAATCTGAAAATGGGCTTTCTGTAGAGAGGAAAGATAAGTAGGTGGAAGAAGGTATGATCAGTGTACAAAGTCACTTAAAAATTATTGCAAGTGTTGCAAGTGAAGTTATAAGAAGGATACTTATTTGTTCTGTAAATCAGGGCAGAGGACAATATTACTGGATACATTCCTTTGGTTTTTTTATTTAGCTTTTTATTTTGCTTTACTATATTAAGTAAGCAATTACTTGTTTTCTAGTGTCAGGATTGCTTATATTGTCTTCTAGAAAAATAATTAAACTGTGACTGAAAGCTTTGATTAAAGAATACAATTAAACCAGATTCTTGAGTTGTGGTCATCTGTAAAACTCAGCTGAGATTAATGAAGGTATATTCATTATATAATGGAGGTCTCTTGGTTTCTTGGTTTGTATTGGCAAAATTATTGCTTATACCTTAGGGCTTTATTTTTAGAATGTATGAAAAAGCTGTGTCAGTGCAAAAGTTGGTGTGAATTAACTTTTGCAGTATCTTTTTTTTCTTTGACATGGTTCTTCAGTTTGATCCAAAGTTTAGGGATGAAAACAGCTATTCAGACAATAGTAAAACAGACAAGCTTTGTATCACTTCTGTTTAAAATGTAATGCCTTGTTTATGAAAGGTTGCTAAGTTTAGTAGGGATTTCTCCCTTTCAGAAGTTACTGTGCATATAAGTGTATGTATCTACACTATGTCTTTAAGCTGTACTTGAATCATGTGCTTATTTTTTGGATGATGACCATTTGTCTTGGTTTCTCTTGTTTCTCCTAAACACTTTAGCATAGGAGTAGCTATTATCTCTCATTTCATAGCTGAGTTTGGTTCTTTCTAGTTATAAAAGATAGGTCTCCAAAAGCAGGAGGAAATGGATGCTGACTTTTAGATTTCAGCATTTTTTCATCCTGAAATTCCATGGATATGTCATGATTAACCATGCACAAGACTCTATTTCATAACATCAAGACTGAAGCCATATTTGGGTGTCAGCTTGTCAGTTGACATTTTTTTTGGGGGGGGGAAGAGGGGGTTGTTTTTAACCTTTAACTAGAAGCCTTGAAAGTGTATGAAAAAACCTGTGTGTATCTCAAGATGTATTTTGACACAAACTAAAATATAAACAAATCAAAAGCATCCTGGTGTTAGCTAATATAATATGCAGATAAGCCATTTGTACCTTAGCAGGACTCTTCTGCAGCTGTACATGTGAAATAATAAAGATTTGCGCTCTGTCATCATAGAAGCAAACTGATATTTCAGTGGAGTTTGGAATTCCTAGGTTTAAATTTTTATGGTTATGCCTGAGGTAATGTGCTCGCTGAAAACAATTACCTTTAAGTAGCAAAGTGATTTTTTTTTTTTTTTAGGACAGAGATTTGCTTGGTTAATATTAAAAATGTGTAAAGGAAGTAGTTCATTTGCTATATAATCTTAGGTAATTTATAAAATGTAAATCACCATATAAACTTTTGTAATTTCTTTTATTGCTTACTGATAGTAGAAACTTGCTGAAATACCACTAGCACTGCTGTTGGTTTTACCAGAAGCTTTACCAGAACATACAGAAGCTTTTCTATATTGCAAAACAATTGATATCAGTAAGAACATCCAAACAAGTCTAACATGCATATTTCTATCTGGGATAAAATACAATAAGAGATCTGATCTTGCATATACAGTGACTTTACCTATATTGTGTACCTTGACCTTCCATGCACTTAAAATTCTTCCTTCTCTAATCTCATCAGGTATGTAAACTCTTCATGAAATATCACCACACAAGGTATCTTCATAAGGTTTACTTGTATGTACTTGTATGGAAAGCAGCCTCCACCAATAGTAATAATACCAATTAAACTGCATTCATTCTTTAAATGAATGCAATTTAATTTTCCCATACTCATAAAGCAGTATGGGAAAATTAATGCCTAAAACAGCCTAGGATCCTTTTAAGTGCTTATATTTGGTGTTTGGATAGTCAATGTTGACTTCAAGGTTTTATATCTGTTAAGAGGAGCTAGTGTAGATGTTTTATAGACTTGTTCAATAGGGATGCTGCTGGTGTGGTTTTAAGAATCCTTAAGCTAGATTTTGTGGCTCTGCTTTCCTGTTTGTGATTACTCACACAATTAAACCGTATTAAGTATCAATAATACAGTACAGCTTCTTAAGAATGAAATGTGCTCAGTCTTGGTTATGTAGTTATGTGATTGGTGTATAGGGAGAACACCTTGAATGTAATGTAGAAGTATCAACAGGAAGAAGTTAAAGAGGAAACAATCTTATTATAAAATAAAACTTGAATGCATATAAAAATTGCTTTGCGGTTTTAAGTCTTTCTTACATACTTGAAGTATTTTTGTGGAGAAGTTAAAAGGAGATGCAAAAAATGCAATCTGTGGACTTAGACCTGATACATGGCAATTATTTAACTGCCAAGCTGTGTTGTCATTGAAATATTTTAGCTTAGACTTGTTAATACTCTAGTTTCCCTCCCTTCTGAAAACATGGCTCTTATAATGATGTATTAGTAGATGCATCTTTAGTGTGCTTGGAAAAGACAGTTTTAATATTTTTCCTTTATGTATGAGACTGCATATCTGTAGCCCTACTTTGA